TAGGCAAGCATCCCTGGGAAGAGCATTCCATAAGCAGGGAGCCTCCACTGAAAAGGCCACGCCTTGTGTTGCCACTCTCCTGACCTTCCATGGAAGGGGCAAACAGAGGGGAGCCTCACAGAGAACCACATTTGCCAAGAACATAAGGTGAGTTCAACCATGTGCTACACATGGAGACTCTATATCCATGGAGGAGGGAGAGGTAGGGATGCATGCGGAACCTCCTGCCCCACTTTCAACAAACACATTGTTCCAACATGCTCAGTCTTGACCTTTCCCTGGGTTGAGTGAAGAAGGTCTGCAGAGGGCTTCTGTTTACATCTGTCAACCCCCAGATAGCGGTGGGAAGCTCCCTGGCAGGGGTTGGGGTACATGAAGACAACAGCCTGCCCTTGTTCTTTGTCTGCTGCGCCTGGGATTTTGAAGTAGACTCCCCCTGTGCACAGTAGCATCTGGTGTCTATTGTGGCAGAGAGCCCAACAGTAGGTGGAGACAGAGCCAACGACAGGCAGAGCCAAATGATTCAAGTTTGGGGTTCCATCTTCCTCCCCGCTGAGCTCTACAGGGACAACACCAAAGATCGAAGGGGAATCTGGCATGCAGTGCCACCCCAAAGACTGACTGTAAAGAGAAAGACTGGCAGGCGAGTGCTGGCTGAGTTTAGTGGAGCAGTGCCCCATTTGCCCTAACAGAGCAGTCACCACTGCCTGTGGATGTAAATTCCATTCCATCTTTCATGAGCTATCCTCTTTGAATTTACCTAATCCTTTTAAAATGTCAGCTGAGTTAATGGTTTTTGCCACCTCTTGTGGCATTGCATTTAATGAGATAATTATATGTGTCATTTCAAGTGTCTCCCCCTCCCCACCTTTGGTGTGTCCTAGATCTGCTGATAGATTCATAGGTGGAAATGGGATTGTAGCACAGTGGGAGGGGGGGATCTTCCTTTCCATACCACTCTTAGGGTTCATCAGAACATAGCCACCTGTTCAGAAAAATAGGGCGGCCAGTTGCAAAAAAGGACAGGGCTTGTGTCAGCTGCAGGGGCAGCATTTCCTGTTTCGCCACTGCCACTCCCTCAACCACCTCTTCTTGCCACTGCCACCACATGCCCTGCTGCATCCACCACTGGTGGAGAAGCACCACCACCATTGGCACTGGCTGAGATCTTGCCCTAAATGGATTCAATATTGCCCAAAATCAATACTGATGGCAACAGCACTTCTCCACCTGCAGTGGAGGTGGCAGGCAGGTGGGGAGCCTGTGGGTGTGCTGCCTGGCAGCTTCTGCCGCCTGAGGCAGCAGCCTCGCCCTGCCTAATGCCTGGGCCGGCTCTGCTAAGCTGAAATCCCCTCTTAAAGTGCACAAGCCCTGTCCTCTTTTACCATATAGCCCAGTGTATTACAAACGCCTCAGGGCTTTGCCAGCATTCACACATGCACAGCAATGCTTTTTTTAAAAAGTCCATCTTACTGTTGTCTGATTGCTTTGTCTAATCCTGTACCCAGTGTTACAGTGGCTGCTATAAAATATGGTACAAGCATTAAATAACAGAACAACAACACACAAGCAACATTCCTTTAGCTATTTTGGCTCAAGTAGCACTGTGTGTGTGTGTGTGTGTGTGTGTGTGTGTGTGTTTAAACATAATTAAAAGTGCAGAGAGAAAAAAATTCCATGTTTGTGCCTCTGAGGGAAATGGTTCAGCAGTGGCTAAAACCAAGCAGAACAGACACAGTGAGAAGTTTATCAGTGCATGACCCAGAGTCCTTAAAGTGATCTGTGGTTGGCAGTTGCGCTGTAAGTCTGCTTCTTGTCTCGGTCATTGCTCTGGCTAAAGTGTCTGCGCTTAGCAATTAGAGGGTGAGTAGATCACCTAGAAAGATCAGGTGAGAGTATCTGGTGATGATAACACTAGCTCAGCAGTCAAGCTCCTTGGTGACACCATTTCTGCCATCTCTCTTAATAAAGGCAGCTAATTATGGAGAGCTTGATCAGACTGATATTATTTGCCTGAACGAAATGTGTAATTTCCAGTTAAACAAGGTAGAGTTCAGACTAATAGCCTTGGGAGATATTCATTGGCCTCCTTATGAGTGTCAACTTGTACCATTAATAGCCATCTTTATTGGATTTTGTATTTGGAAATGTTACTTAGGTTAAATGATGCCCAGCCAAGGCATCTGACATTCAAGTTGTATGTCCGAATAATTTGCATGCATTTTGATTAAGTAGTTTAATTACAACTTACATATATCCTCCTATGCATTTAAAATAACGGCTCTGGAGTAAAGAACATGTTTTCTGGATCAGCAGAAGTAGACAGGAGAAATAGTTTTGTATGGGAACCTTGCTTTGAAATTACACATTCTGCTAGCTTATGATAGCAGATGTTTTGAACATTCTTTGTTGAAGGCTACAATCTTAAACACACTTACTAGTAGGAGGGATTCAGTATTGTGCTATAGCAATTGTTCTGTTAGCACAAGCATTTCAGCTTGCTAAATGGAATGACCCTGCTCTCCACACCCCAAACAGTTCTCGCACCCACCCCCAACCAATGGGAGCAGGAGGGAGAGATGAGCAGGAGAAAAGTCCCATTGCTCCAGCAGAAGTCCTTGTATGGACTCCTGTAAGTGGGACTCAGTAGCTGAATCTGGCCCAGTGGAACATATTCCTGACTAAACGTGCATTGGATTGCAATGTAACTCTTGCAACAACTTTGTAAGGTAGGCTGACATTCATAACTGTACAGTATTACAATCTGGCATGGAGGATGACCCTTCACTGAGGCTGTCTAGTGAGCTGGTGGCTGGAGTTGGATTTGTGATGCTGAAAGTAATTACTTGAAACATAAGGAGCCTCCAAGTGACTTATGAAATTTTAAAAGCATAAAGTGTGGCATAAAAAAGAATGAATTACAATAAAAAACTATGCAGTAGCCCATAAAACAAACCCAATAAAACAGCAGCAGCAATGGGGGGGGGGAGTCTACCCATAGACAGAAAAATCATTATCGTTCATAAAAAGCCTGGGAAAAGAGATAAGATTTCTCCTGGCACCGGGAGGATATTAAGGAAGGCACTAGGGAGACTTCACTGGAGAGAGAGCTGTGCAAGTGGGGAGCCACAACCAACAAGTCCCCCTCCCTTATCAGGACTTCTCATCTTGCAGTCTATGCTCTTTCCCACAACAATGCACCAATTTGTTGGTACCACACCATGGTGGGACTGAGGCTGATTTAATGGATCCCATAGCTCAGTTGGTGAATTCAGACTTGAGGTGACCTGTAACTGACTTGGTGCAGATTTCACTTGCTCGTTGTGCTGATGGTGGAAGACCTCTTGGGTTTTGATCCAGTTCCTTTCCCTTTCTGGGATGTGGATGCAGCGCATCCTGACACTCATTTGAGGCTTGTAAAGAAAATGAAGGAAGGACAAAAATAGCCATGCCTTTAATGGCACTCGTGGCCCCCTGACCACCTGTCCCAGGGGAAAGAGGAAGCCAGAGTGGTTTAAAACAGAAGTGAAACTTTTAGCTGCTCTTTGGCGTCAAGAGTGCAGACCACAGGTGCTAAAAGCTTGGGCAGTGACAGCCATGATATGAAAAGAGATTTTTTGCAATGGGTCCCTTAGTTGTGGGATGAGTTGGCCTTCCTCAGTACTGTGAAAAGGCAGACATGCAGATCACTAACTCAGTTTAATGCCTCTCTATCTCCTTTCATATCTTTAAAAGTGCTCTGCGAATGTTCATTTAGTGCTGTGCCGCTGAGCAACACTCAGTGCTTAAAGTTCATTCCAAATTTGAAGGGCTGGAGGCTGGAGGCAGGAGGCAAAAGCCAGCTCCCCTCTGAATCAGCATTCTAGGACATCTGAAGTGTCCGCCACCAACATTGCCTCGAGTATCACCTCACATATCAATGAATTGGCCCCCCACTCCATTTTGTGCCATATGGGGCTGAGATATGGGGCATGGTGTTCATTATTCATGCTAGTATTTTTAAAAGCAAAGCGAAACAAAACATTGTTAAATAGCAAAAGTGTTCAAGGGATTTAAGGGGAGGTGGGGTTTCTTGGTGACATCACAGAAGGCTAGCCAATTAGCGGGATGCAGGGCGGCACCTCTGCTTTAGGCTTGCAGAGCTGTGTGTCTCCTGACTTGAGCCTGACTCTCTAGAGAGAAAGTACACTTGTGTTGAATGTAATGTGGGTGCTTACAAAGTGCCTTTCTTTATGTCTGCCTTTATCATTATTGCTTCTAAAGAAATGTGAAGTGTGTAATGGTGGCTGCAGGAATAAGGCAAAACCTATTTCCTTAGATTCCTTTCCTCCTCCTCCCCCCTCCCCTTACTGGGGAGCACCAATTAGAATATATATTTTTGTTTCCAAATTAGTTTTTGTGTTTTATGCGAAGCAGTTATTTTCTGCAGATGCAATCATGTATTAAGCTCACTAAGTTTCACACACATACACAGAAGTTTTCAGGGAAATTGCAAGAACTCTTTGCTTGGAAAAAAGAGCTTTAGGGCTTTTTCTCTTTTATTCCCCCTCGTTTCTGTGTTCACTAATGTACTGTTTGTTCTAGAGTCACAGCGAGTGGGAGTTAAAGCTTATAAACGCACCGTTTGGCTCTTTAAAAAGGCATTTAGTGTACAATTACGGCTGTTTACTTTCTGTAATTGTTGTGTTTCGAGGTTTTAGCAGGGCTTAGAAAGATGGGTATCTACAATCTTGGAGGGCTGCTTCCCTTTTTAACAAAAAAAAGAAGAAGAAAAAATATAATTATAGCTTATTGAGACAGATATACAGATAATGCAATGTTTTGTATGCTTTTCACACATGGCTATGATACTGCTTTGCATGGTTTATAATTCCAGCTGGATTGAAGGAGACTGAGGTGCTCTTTCTACATTGCAGTCTTGGTGTGGAAGCTGCTTTTCTGTGACTCCAGCCAGTGGTATTGGCACAATATTCAAAAACCCCGTGGCACATCCTGCACCAGCCGTAGCTCAGTGGTAGAACACCTGCTTTGCATGCAGAAGGTCCCAGGTTCAGTCCCCTGTTGCATCTCCAGGTAAGGCTTGGAGAGACGTATGCCTGGAACCTGGAAGAACTGCTGCCAGTCAGTGTTGACAATACTGAACTAGGTGGACCAATAGACTTCCTATGCCATATGCCCATGAGTCCTTCTCTAGCAAACATTGCCTGGTCAGGATAGGGAGTGAGAATTGAGTGGCAAGGGCCAAGCCCATTGCCCTTCCTCGCACTTTCACTTCCTCTTTGTTTCTTCACACCCTTCCACCCACGACAAGGTGTATCACCCCCACCCCAAAAAAAGAGAGAACAGAAGCATAAAGATATGGTGGGGAAAAACCTCCTCCCTGCATGTGCTAACTTTTGGATCCAAATTTAGAAGTAACCACTAAAATGGAAAGAAAAATGCATTTCACCATACTGGGGTAAGACTGAGCAGGAGAGCTGTGTGACTGCTCCATCTGCTATCCGGGTGCTGAGTTCAAGGCTTCTGCCCTTTCTTGTTAAGGCCTGCAAATGGATGATTCCTTCAAACCGAGGGCTGTCCTTGATGAAGTAGGATGCACGGCCATCAGATTCACATATCTATCCATTACTAGCACACATGGAACATGTCAACAGCACACAACATTTACAGGCAAGATGGATCAAGATTCTTTTTGAACTATGCTTTGAGGACTGTTGTGTTTCTGGTAGTGTTTTATGAATATGAATGTGGGTACATTTTTTTTTATCAGCTATGCTGTGCTCTACCTGTGGCTGGCTGGGGGGGCGGGGTTTCCATACGCCCGGAATTTCCTGGACGTATCCGAAATACTGCAGTCAGCAGCAGTGTCTGGGCGGAAATTGGTAAAAAAACAACAACTTTGGGCAGTTTTTTTAAAAAAACAATCACTGTTTGAAATAACCCTAACAAAGGAGTTTGAAGTATTCTAATTATTTGCTTTACGTTGGGAATTATTTGCAGATAACGTTAGGAATTGTTTCACATTCTATACATGTATCTTTGATACAGGCTGGGATAGGTTTCATTTGTTTAGAACAGATTAAGCCAATCTGTAGAGAGAAAAGCATCTCTCCACTGAAGAGTGAAGTCTGAGTGTTCAGCCAGCAATGTTAGGGTTTCCCGCCTCCCACCTCTAAAGCCTTTGAGAGTTGTTTCTCAGTCTAGTGTAAACAATTTATTGTTGAAGTCCTGGAATATTTGCATTTTAATTAAAGACAATTTTAATTAAACACCAAAACTTTAATAGGAAAAGTAGACTTTAAGCCTGCGGTTGCACTCACATACCAAGGAGGCCAATTCTGAGGGGACCCCTGCATTGTACATAAATCTAGCTTGTGTGTAATTTATGCCAAGGCGGAAAAGGATATGCCTCTTCCTGAAAGAAACAATCGCTCTTCCAAATAATAATAATAAAATCCGCTCTAGAAACAAGCTAGTTGGAGAAAGGGATGGGGAGTTTAGAAAGGGAAGGCAGCGAGAAGAAATATGCCCCAATTTTCAATACAGTGGTACCTCGGGTTAAGTACTTAATTTGTTCCAGAGGTCCGTACTTAACCTGAAACTGTTCTTAACCTGAAGCACCTCTTTAGCTAATGGGGCCTCCTGCTGCCGCCGCGCCGCCGGAGCACAATTTCTGTTCTCATCCTGAAGCAAAGTTCTTAACCTGAAGTACTATCTCAGGGTTAGCGGAGCATGTAACCTGAAGCGTCTGTAACCCGAGGTACCACTGTAATAAGAAAAGTACCAACACAATCTTCTGTCAAAACTTTAGAGCTCTTCTGAATATTGGTCAACACCTATTGATAGCACATTATTTATTTCGCTTGCTTCTTCTATGGAGCCCAAGGTGGTGGTTCTCCCTCTCTATGTCTTCTCCTCACAACAACCCTGTGAGGCAGGCTAGACTAAGACATAGCGGCAGGCTCAAGGTCACCCCAGCGAGCCTGGCACCTTCTGCATGGAAAGCAGATGCTCTGCCCCTGAGCTACTGCCCTTCCCAAGTCATGCACAAGGCACTCAGTTAGCTGATTTCACCTGCTCCATTGAAATGTATGGCTCATGCAGGGCCAGACACTGCTCTCTTAACACATCACTACATCATATTTGGGGCTGCTACATGGACAGGGTTTCTCTCTACATCAGAAGTGAGAATCCTGCAGCCCTCCGGATTTTGTTGGACTACAACTCCTTTCATTCCTCTCCACTGACCATGCTGGCTGGGACTGATGGGATTTGGAGTCCAGCAACATCTGGCACCTACCCCTGTTCTACCCTGCCTGCAACCTGTAAACATTGGCTGGATCTACACTGATCTAAATTTTTTAAAAGCTAAGAAAAAACATTATATAGCTCTTAATGCAATTTTCCATTGACTTCTGTACAGCGCCCCCTGGTGTCACATTTCTATAACACATTTATAACGTTACAACTCACCAGTATAGGTTTGTCCATTATCTTCTGTATGGGCCTACTCTGACTGCCAATGGTTCTCAAGGGTCTCTGGTTGAGATATTTTTGTTACGACAGGCTTTCCCTGCTGGATAAATGGGTCTTTCCCATGAGCGTCCACGTGCTAGGTTTTAGTCTTGCTTTAAATGCATTTGCTGTATTTGTGTTTCTGTTTTCAATTATCTTATGTGTAAGTCGCCTTCAGGTGATGGTTTGGAAGGTGATTAGTACATTAATTGTAATAATAATAATACTTCCCTTTAGCTGGCTGCTGATGCCACATAATGATCCTGGGGCCGTCTACCTGCAATATATATATGCCAAACTGTACCCCCTTTCATCCACTGAACATTACTGGTAGGCAGTGCTTTTTTTCCTAAAAAATGTTTAGGGGTACTCTTATTTTAACTCAAGAAAACCATCATTTTATAGTTCAAATCAGGAAAAATAAATACAGTAAATGGACAAAAGTACAAAGATTCACAAAATGCTTAGGCGTATGCATCCCCCTGCATCCCCCAAGGGGAAAAAAAGCACTGCTGGTAGGATAGGGAGATCAGAAGTACATGGCATTGTGCAACCACAGCCTGCAAAGCAGTTGATAACCAGAGAGCAATTTACCTGAATAGTGAGAACACTGTTAAGACATGCTTGGCGCAATCAATGGGTCTAAGAAATATGACCTAGTTGAATATCTCCCTTTGAATTTCAGTCATAGGTACCCTTCTTATGTTCTGACATCAAACTGGGGAGGCTTTTTGTACATTTTGAAACCTCATGTTCTACAGCTACTTAATCAGCATAGAGGTGTTTTCAAAAGTTCAATAGCACTGTGTATATATATATATATATATATATATATATATATGCATATACTCAAGTTTGTATTGATTGTGTTGCTAATTCTGCCTTCTAACACTGCCAGCGAGCAGGCAGGTAGCTGAATTGTATTTAACTGGTTTTATTGTGATGTGACTAAGATGGATGTCACATGGTCTTCCATTATTCGATGGGGGAGTGTGGTTAATGAAGCCATTAGCTGAGCCAAGGCGAGTCGAGAAAAAATAGGGAAATCACCATTATTCTGAAGCCATTAAGTTGTAATCTGCCACTTTCTCTCCTTACTCAAAAAGGCATCTTCTTTTGAAGGCCTCCCTGACTGTCCTTTAAAGATTCATTAATTCATTAACTTTCTAAAGGAGATGAGGGGAAACACAATTGAAATTTTAATCTGCACTGCATGTCGTATTATTAACATTTTCAGCATATCTGCCTCCACCGTCGGACAGCATCAGGTTAGGGTTAAATAAACTACATTACAGCAAATAATATTCTGTTTCATACCATAAAACATAAAACGCCGAGGACAGAAATTGGTTTCATGGATAAATTGAATTACAATTCAGGGCTAGCATTGTGAAGTCTGTTGTTCAAATTTGCATTCTTCCCAGCAAATGTGAATGCCAACATCATGCATTAATGTTAATATTCTTTTTCTTCTGCGCTTGACTTAGCGCCCGCACAAATGTGGCTGTCATACGGAGACCACTTTATATTGTCCCATTTGGTGGTGGCTGAAGGGTTGTCGTTTCACCCGCAGCAACAACAAAGAACTTGACCAATTGACCGATAAAGTATTGATCAAATTAGGATAGTGACAAGGAAATGGGGGGGGGGGTTATGTTAACTACCAAACTATTGTAGTGTAAACGATACTAAGATGGCAAAAAAGAGGCCATAGCTCAGTGGTGGAGCATTTGCTTTGCATTGAGAAGGTTGTCAGTTCAATCCCTGGTTGGCCTGAGAAATATCTCCAACTTGGCTCTTAATAAGATGGTAAACCTGTGCCTAGGCTTTACCAAGAGGGGTATTAAACTATGGACTTAATGTGTATTGCTTTGTTCCAGAATGTGGTAGTGCACATTTTGGGGGCACTTCTGTGCATTCTGAATGGGGCCCTGGATTAGTACTTCCATTTTTGATGGAGGCAGGGGGCTGGTGGAATGTTGCTTGTCACTGAAGTAAATTCATCTTCTTAAGGGATTAATGGTGCTATCCCATAAACATGCAGAAATCTGGCTTCTATCAAGTTGGACTGAGTCTTAGGGTTTAATTAGAATGGGAGAAATTGGAGACATTTTCTAGGCAGAAAAATGAGAGTGGCACATGTGTGACCCTAAGTAGGGTCTATGGGAAGGAACATAGCTCATTGGCCAAGCATCTGCTTTGCATGCAGAAGGTCCTATGTCCAATCCCCCACATCACCAGATAAGGCTGGGAGAGGCCTCCATTTGAAATCCTGGAGAACCACTGCTCCTTAGTGTGGACAACATACCCTCCAACATTTCTCCAATGAAAATATGCACATCCCATTCCATAATGATAATTTTACTATTTATACCCCACACATCTGACTGGGTTTCCCCAGCCACTCTGGCTAGCTTCCAGCATATATAAAAACATAATTAAACATTAAACATGAAAAACTTCCCTATACAGGATTGCCTTCAGATGGCTTAGGGGTTGGATAACTCCATGCCCTCCAACATTTCTCCTATGAAAACAGGGACATCCTAAGGAAAAGTGGGACATTCTGGGATCAAATCAGAAACCAGGATGGCTTCTCTAAATCAGGGACCTCCCTGGAAAATAGGGACACTTGGAGGGTCTGGGACAACACAGAGCTAGGCTGACCAACTGGTCTGACTCAGTATAAAGCAGCTTCCTGTTTTCCTACGTCCTGCCAGACTGAGGAGCAAAGGGCCCTCACTTTTTCCTTATTGGCACTGAATTCCATAATGATGCAATGGAAAAAGGAGAGTGCTGCTTACACAAGGGTGCTCTTGGCTTCATGGAGTATTTTGATAGCAGTCAAATAATAAATAGGAGGTCAGTTGACAAAATCTGGCTGGTCAACTGACTGAGTTGGCTCTGTGTGCGGTGAGAGATCTTTGAGCTCTGGGATTCTATCAAGTGGTTGTTTCTGCAGGGCTTGTACTGTCATTTGCTAGACTGAGGCAGCCTGCTCAGGTGGCAGATTATAGGGGTGATGACAGCTCCCACAAACATTTTTTCTGAGCCCCACCCTAGAGCACATGGCTGTGTATAGCCTGTTGTATACCCTCCAAACTAGTCCTGTGCTAATCAGGTGCAATGGTTGACACCAGTGTTGAAGTAAGATTCAACTGCTGGTCTATTTGCCTTCTGCAAGTGGAATTGTGGGATAGGGGAATACCACCTTGCCCCTTTCTTGCTTTTCTTGAGCCAGCCCTGCTGTTTCTCCACTTCCTTTGCTGCAAAATGGCCAAGAAGGTCTGAGGTGGTATGGAATTTACCCCCACCTACCCCACCCCCCTGCTAGCTCTGAGACCAAATTCCAGTTCCAGTCTTGGAATTCAACCTTGCAGGATCTCTCTGCTGATTCTGGGTGGGTCATCAATCAAGAGTTCCAGGCGAACACCATGGGTGACTGCAACAGTCACACTTTGAGCCTTTTCTTCCATTCCTCCGCCTCTCTCACTCCTTTCACGGTGATACTGTCAGTTTGATATATTGCCTTCCGTGTTGAGTTTGTTACTTAGGTCAGGAAACCTCAGAGTTGCTTGTATCATCGGTGCTGGAAAGCACAAGTAGCCTTTTGCATCTCTGCTCTGTGCCTTTCGGTGGATGTGCTGGGAGGAGGAACCAGCAACTGAACACACAAACGCATACTATTCTCTTCTCTATTCCTCTGGAGTAAATTATGTTTATGGTGATGCAATTAGGGCAACAAAGGAAGTATAGGAGTAACAGCATTACTAATTATATTGCTTTACATAAAGAGTGACATCAATATTATCAAGTACCATTAACAGTCCTTAACGGCAGTACATAGAATAACCTTTGATTTCAAATAGAGCCTGTAAATCTCACGAAACCATCTCCGTAGGCTTCCCATTTCTTGATAAGAAAAAGTGATTGTTGGTGAATGTACTCTTTAAAAGCTTTCAATAACCACCTAAAAGCCAAAATGTGAGGCTCTTGTGTCTGAGTTCATTCAGAAGCTGAATCCTTATTGCTGGAAATATAAGTTAAGGCCCAGTTTCTAGATGATGTCATACCTCTGGGGCATCCGGAACTCTTCACAGTGCCCCTTCAAAGGAATGAAGTGACTGGGCAGGGGTATAAGGGGCGAGTGCCTGTAACCTCCCCCCCCCCCCGATGATACATGTTTTAAAATAATGTTTGAAAAGAATAACATTGTGGGTGGCAGCATCAGATTGGGCTCTCCAGGAGCTTTGCTTCAGCTTGACCTACAAAGCCAGATGTTCACCTGTTCACATTATGTCCATTAGACATTTTCTAATATTTGTGGCCACCAACATATTTTAGGCCTTCCACTCTGCCTGCAAAAAAAGAGAACACACATTTGCAACGATGCAAAGCACATGCACATTCTTAATGCAAATCTATGTCATCTTTTGCAAGTGGGTCAGAGGGCCTGTAATTCACATACAGTGTAGGCTACCGGGCACAGAAAATCCTCTTGGTACCCCTGCTAATCACCAGGTTGAAGATAGCAAGGTGTAGCCTCTGGGAAGCCCATAAGTTTGGAATGGATACATCAGTCCATTTCAGGTCTGTATCCGTTCTCAAATGTTCATTCATAAATCCATCTAAATTCTGCATTTTTATTTTATTTATTTATCTTTTTTTTTAAAAAAAAACCTACACACAGTCATATTTGAATGCCTATTTTAATATACATTTAATCTCAATGTACACATTACCCTAAATTGAGTATTTTATTTTAAAAAGAAACATTTTGGTACATTTGGCACATTTTAAAAAACCAATAACTACTCCAAAACTTGGAGAAGTGTGAATTACATCCTGATGCATGCATTAGTTTGGGAGCTATTAATGAGGACAGTTGGCTTTAAAAAATTTGACTTCTCCATCCCTATGCACAAGCGAGCCATGGTGACAATAGCTCACCTTTCCTTCCCAGCTGCAATTCAGTGGCATCCTGTCTCTCTGAACCTGCAAGCTCTGGTCATCTGCCATGGCTCAGAACAGTTGCTAGAATGATCTTCCTTAAAAATGACTGACCCCCCCTTTTTATGCAAGGATGCAGAACCTCAGGTTCAAATGTGGCCCTGCAGGCCCTCTGTATGGCCTTCAGGACACTCCCCAGCTTGCACACCTTCCCCAGGCCACGGCCATCACCTGCCCTACTTTGGACCCTGATTATGCCTCTTGCCTGATTAGATGGTAGAAAGGGAGAGGGGTGTGTAGAAAGCAGCCTACTGTAGAAAGGTAATATTTGCATTCATTGCACTGTCCACTTTTGCCTCTGGCTTGGCCCACCACAGCTCCTTGAAGATTGCGCAGAAGAGAATGTGGCTGAAAAAGGTTCCCCACCTCTGCCCTAATGGGATGCCCCCTGGAGTACCAAGTACAGTAGTACCTTGGGTTAAGAACTTAATTTGTTCTGGAGGTCCGTTCTTAACCTGAAACTGTTCTTAACCTGAAGCACCACTTTAGCTAATGGGGCCTCCCACTGCCGCACGATTTCTGTTCTCATCCTGAAGCAAAGTTCTTAACCCGAGGTACTATTTCTGGGTTAGTGGAGTGTGTAACCTGAAGCGTATGTAACCTGAAGCATCTGTAACCTGAGGTACCACTGTACATATTCAGGAATGGAGCTCCAGGCACTGGAGTAACCCTTCTTGTGTTGTGGTCATGTTTCACAACTCCCAGGTACATAGCCACATCCTGTGCTGGGTAATGCTAGCTGTGAAGAACAGATTGTCATGTCTAGCAATATAACCTGGTCACAGGTGAGGTCATCCTTAATCTAGAATGAGTTCTGCAAGGAAAGCGGTGGTTTTGAGCTTGTGAAAGGGGGGGGGCGCGGGGGAAGCAATCCTCCCCGTGCTCAGCAGCTGGCAGCCGGCTGAGACTGTTGAAAAGCTGGGACAATATTATGCAGATTCAGAATTTTAAAAGTGTGTTGATGAGTTGCCTTTGATCCGACAAACATCGAAGACATTTTCTCGGTCTGCGCCGGGCTGCATTTGCTTATTCATTCAGTTGCAATTTATTTTCGGTTTCCATCTCTATCCTGCCCTTCGGCCTTCCGGGCTGCTCACACAACTGAAACAAGTGCAGATGTAATTGCATAGTGCTTAGCAACTTTAAGCCTTTTCTAAAAGAACTGGAGAGTGGCCGCTTATGCATCCACACCCCACAGAAAGGAAATGTATCTCCAAAAGCGAGAGAGAGAGAACAGACATGGTCACAGATTTGTATATGCTGGTTTATATGTATAAATTTGCACACTGGCAAATAACAACTGCAATTTAAACAAATGCAGGTGACTTGTCAAAAGTGCTCTTCCAGGGAAACAAACAACAGTCTTGAAACCAGCAGTGTTGGTGTGCCACTGTAAGGGTGGGTTGATGTTGCACTACCATTTTGGCACACAGTCATCATCAGGGTTTTTTCCCCAGCCAGAGCTCACCAGCACCTCTCAGGTGAGCACCATTGCCATTGTAAGAGAATAAGGGAGAGGTTCATGGTGAGCTCCAGCACCTCTTTTTCTCAACAATTAGCACTGCTGGTAAGAAACAATGGATGCAGTATATTACATCTGTCCCTCTTCTCAACCCATACAAACTTCAAAAACAGCTAGGTGTTTTTATTCGACACACGAGCTTTGGGTGGGGGTGAGGAATTGCCCGATTCATAAAGCAAAGACTTTGGACTCTGCCTGACAGCTTCATCATTAGCTAAAATGAACTGTACGAGAAGTGTGCAAAACTGCAGCATTACACATTCCCAAATCAATGCTTAATTATTGTTTAATTGATTCTGAAATCTACAATGGAACCTGCCCCCCAAAGGAAAAGGAATAAAGGCAGGTTTGAAAAAGAGTTAAGTGACAGTTTTGTATCAAATAAGAAATTGCTAAGAGGCTGAGTATCTTTTCAAGAAGGGCTAGTTTTATGTCAGTACCCCAGGGTTTTTCGAACTGCATATCAAGGCCTGTGTGAAGGTATACAATTCTTCACACTTACAGATTCCACATTCTGTCAGAGAGAGAGAGAGAGAGAGAGAGAGAGAGAGAGAGAGAGAGAGAGAGAGAGAGAACAAACACTGAGGAATGGAGATGTGTCCAAATCCCCCACTGATTTACAGTTAAATCACAGGAATGTGCCTTATACAGGGTCAGACCACACTGACTACTAGCAGTGGTTCTCCAGATTTCATCCATAAGTCTTTCCCAGCCCTGCCTGTAGACAGCCAGGATTGAACCTGGATTCTTCTGCATGCAAGTCAGAAGCTCTATTACTGAGCTACAAACAGCTGCCCCGTGTGGGGAGCTATGAGAGATGCAGTATTCTCAAGCTCTGGACTGGCCTCACTTACCCTAGCTGGCCATTGGGTATTCCTAGACTGGCAGGACATGGCTCTAGTGTGGTTTTGCAGTATGTTGTTCAACCAAGACTCCCTGTTTCCCAACCCTTCCCATCCCATGACAGCTGCTTACAGCTCATCTTGAACAGATCATGCTGTCCCTGCCCCACTGCATGATTCCGCTGCCCCCTGGATGCCCTCCCAAACTCCCTTCCCATTTGCCTTTGTGTTCTTACGCCAACTGCTTTCCTGCTCCCCTTACCGTTTCCCCTTTTTAAAAATAGTTCCCTGTCTTGTTACTTTCCTTTTGTACCTCATTGCATAAATCCCAATAATGCCTTAATTTATGCTTGCATATCCAGGAGCTTTGTTCAAAATGAGCTGCATCCAAGGTGGAATCGGAGCCTTCTGTTCCTACAGAAATGAATAAGCTGCATGAGGTGAATTCTTTCACTGCCCTGTTTTCTAACCTGGAGTTTTCAGAGTATAATTTAGACATTGCCTCGGTAGTTTATGACCATATAATGTGTAGGTGGGTTGGTGGGAGGTTAGATAGATGCACTTGTAAATGGCAAAAAGCAGGATGGCAGAGTGCAGTCTCCAGCTGTGCATTATTTTACTGCACAGTTTCATGTCTCTATCTTAAGGCATTAGATGCTACTAATTCAGCAAAAGCCCAAAGATTTGTTTTACAGAAGAAAATTTGGATTTGATTAAGATATTGCTTCCAGACCTAATCCCCCTTTTTAGCAAACCACGCTTTTGTCTGTGTGGCCGGCGATAAACTGCATTTGAGGGGAGCGCTTTACAGTGAGGACAAAAAGGCTTCCTCGCCTGGGAATTATCTTACAAAAGCAACATTTGCTGTAATGGCATTATACTTAGATTAATTATAGGGATGCTAGCAAGAACTATTTCATCATTTTTGGCAAGGTCAGCACATTTTTGCTCTTAACCCTCCAATGCAGAGGTTTATAATTTAGCTATTTTTATGTGCCAGGGGTCACCAACTGGATATGACCTCAGAAGGCACGGAGCTGCAGAATATGGCCCCAGAAGCAACTTTCTGGGGGCCTACCTCACTCAACAGATTTTAATCAAGGTATGGGCAAACCATTTTGCTCACCATGGAGATTCTCTCTTCCCCCGCCCGGCCCCCTCTCTCATCGCCTTTTTTGGAAATGCAAAGGACTGCTGCCAAATTCTGTAAGTCTCCTGGCTCTTTTCTGACAGCTGCCACACACAGCTGTAGAGATGAGCTGGTGGCTAGGGGAGCATGAAATGTGTCTAGTGCTTAGCACTGAAGCCAAAATACACCACAACCAGGAAGTATGTTATTGCTTAGGCAAAGCCCCAACCAAAACAGAAAGTCAGTTGCAGCCCTTCCTGTCTAGGGTGGGGGGCATGGTCAGCATGGGTGGGGCTAGTCTAGGGGAGGTCCATAGCTCAGCTGTAGAGCATCTACTTTGCATAAAGAAAGTCCCAGGTCCAACCCCTGGCTTCTCCAGGTGGACCTGGGAGAGGCCCCACTCTGAAATCACAGATAGCTGCAGCAAATAAGTGTAGACAATACTGGGCTTGATGTACCACTGGTCTGACAGTTTCTAGTCTGGAGCCAGTTAATTCATTTACTGCCAGCCATGTAGACATTCCAAACTGCAGTTCTCATAGGTCACCATAATGGGGCGCTGATCTGTGGATTCCTGGTTCTACCTCCTGACAGAAAAAGAACCTTTCAATTTGTCTTATACCTAGTCAGCCGGCTGGTTCGTCTAGTTTAGTATTCTCCCCTCTGATTGGCCACAGCTCTGCAGTGTCTGAGCAGGTTCTGCTGCCTGATAGCTTCTTAGCTTGGAGCTGGGAAACGTTCCCCCCGCCCCCATGAAAGGCCATTGAACCATGGAAAAATCAGTCAATGATTGCAACTGATAGTGGGTGGGGGCACAGTCAAAAGAAAGAGGAGCTTGCAAGATTATATCATTTTGTCCCTCATCCTCAGATATGACTCCGCCTCAAGGGATGTTTCAAGAAGAACATTCTTTCCTTGCTTCCCTCCTGCTGCACATCGTTGACCTCATGCTATCTGAGCACATGTGCTCTCCATAACTAGGAAGACTTTACTGATAAGCAGTGCTAATTTACAGAGCCAGGTGATCAATGAGGGGTTGGGCAAATTGCATTTATTACTTATGTTCAGGTCCTCCCTTTCTTCCAAGGAGCTCAAGGCCTCCAAACTAGAGCAAAGTAATGGGGTGTCCCCTGAAAATATGTATAAGTGGGCCATCCTTGTTTATGGGGCCGGCCCACCCATGAGGTAAGGTGAGGTGACTGCCTCAGGTGGCAGGATCCACTAGGGCAGCAGATCCTGATGTAGATTTCTTTTTCTTTCCCCCCTTGTTCCTGATGTAGATCTTCCCTCACCACTTCTTTCCTAGCAGTAGGGAGTGGAGTGCCATTGTCTTGGGCCAGCCCTACCTGTTTATATGTAGTTTGAATGAAGTCCAGTATGTAGAATACTTGAGATTCAGGCTTTACATTTAGAATGATGGGAGTCAACTTTTGTTGATGCACTTTCATAGAAGTGATATATGGCAAGGGAAAAAAGTACAAATTGCTGAGCACATCTTGATTTTCTCAGTCATTTTTTTTTTAACTCTCTCCTTTCTCCCTCTTTTAAAAGTTTTCACAGGCAAGCACTGTTTTACTTTTTCTCCTCTGAGGCATCATGGTGAGTGCCTCTTGCCAAGGACAAATGATGCCATAAATCAGGACCCAAATCAATGTTGTTATGAGGTTGTAAGTCTGAGAAGCTGTTACGAGGACCCTGGTGTCTTCCCTGCCTCCGACAGCAGCAAGAACCGGGGACTGTCCAGGGTGCAATTCGGAACCTTGTCTGCTCTTTTATGACCCAATATTCCTTTGCCTTACCTTGACTGTGAGTTATCGCTACCAAGCCTCTGTTTAAATTTCCGTTTCACACATACTGTTACGTGATGGAAACAGCACAAAATAAGCAATGTTAGGAACATCCACATTTGTATTTCCTCAGGATTTTCTCCAAAAACTTGTGTGAATAATTACAAAATAAGATAATAAGTTTTCATTTGAATAATGCAAATAACCATGCAAGAGGAAAACAGAAGGTTTTCCCCTCCCCCCCTTAGTGTGGTCAGCCTTGCAAAGAAGTCTACAAGCTTACAAAAGTGTGAAAAAATGTATGTATAGCATGGTCATTTATATTTATGCATTATGTATATATTTAATGCTGAAGTACTATGCTCACTTACCTGGAAGTCATCCCCATCGAGCTTTTGAGTAAACATATCTACAATTGCACTGTTAAGCATTTATATGCTGCTTTCAGCATGGTTAAACAATGCAACTTGTTCCTGCAGGAAACAGTGATGGCCACGAACTTGCATGTTTGTTTGGTTGTTTTTTAAGTTTTCAGCAGGAGTTGAAAAGTAGACACAGAAGTTCTACTCACTGGGGACCCAGCAAAACTAATGAAACTTCAAATGTTCAACTCTGAGTAGAACAAGCATTGGATATATCCTACCGGGTAGTATTCAGTTGCTTTTACTCAGCGTGGATCCACTGAAATTAATGAACATACTAAGTTAGGTCCATTACATTCAATAGGACTATTTGGAGTAAAACTTGTTGAATATCATTGGGTTCTACTCTGAGAATAACATTGTAGGGCACAATCCTCTGTTCCTATGGTGGCCAGTCCTTGGGAAGCTTACGAACAGGACACTCGCGTTGTCATGCTCTCCCTGCTCAAGTTCCCCAGCAACTGGTATTCAGCAGCATATTGGCTCTGATAACTGGAGGCGTCGTTTGCTTGCCATTGATTTCTGCCCAGGGCAAAAATAGAGGATAATTGGAACACAGTTCACTCACCACCAATCTCATCTTGCCAGCACAGAGAGTTCTTAATGCCACATCTGGTCTCTCCCCCCGCCCTTCCATAGCAGTAATTCCTGCCTTGTGCAAGCGGTAGGTGTTAGTGTAAACAAGGCATGATTTGTGTGGCTGGAATATGGCTGTAGACATTGTGCTAGACATAAAGAACAAGGGTCGGGGCAAGATGACTCTTGGAACTATATTTCATTACCCTTAACACACAGCTTTCGTAATAGAATCACAAGGAGCCAGTTCCATCTGGTATTCAAGATTTTATGACGGCGTTTTGCTTCAGGACCTAAACTTCCTTAGCTGGCCATAACCTGACCAGTAAGGACCTTTAAGTGGGTCATTAATGCTTAAATAATAGCGCGCGCACACACACACACACACACACACCCCAAGTCTAGCTGGAGCAAGAACCTCTTTTGTCATTTTGCGAAAAAAGAAAAGAAAGTTTCTTTTCTCAATACAAACATGCAACAGTTAGAATGGCAAAGCTAGGGGTGGTGTTGCTGAGGAGACTGGGAGACAGAAGCAGATCAGCACAGAGCAAGCTAGTATGTCTCAGGAATCCTGTTTCTCACAGGAGTCAACCGGATGCCCATGGGAAGCCTACAAGCAGGACCTGAATGCAACCATGCTCTCCCCACTTGTGATTCCTAGTAGCTTTTATTCAGAGACACACTGCTTCTGACAATGGAGGCAGAACCTCATGGAGGATAAGGCCATGCTCCACCTCCACTGTCAGAGGCAGCATGCTTCTGAATATCAGTTGCTGGAAACTGAGGGAAGGGAGGGTGCTCTTGTCCTTGCAGGTTTTGCCATAGGTATCTGGTTGGCCATGGTGAGAACACGATGGCAGGACTAGGTGGACCATTGGACTAATCCAGCAGGCTCTTCTAAGGTTCTCAGAACATAGCCAGCATGATAAGGTAGCCTTATCCTCCATTAATTTGCCTAATCCTCTTTTGGAACCATCCAGGTTTGTGGCCTTGTTGAGCGAGTTGATTCCATAATTAAGTATATGCAATATGAAGAAGAACTTCTTTCTGTCTGCACGGGATCTCCCAGTATGAAGCCTTATTGAACGTTCCCCAGGTTCTAGCATTCCGAGAGAGGGAGGAAAACATATCTCTGTCTATTTTATACTGCCGTGCCCTGCTCCCAGTACTCACCCTTTCTGTAAACTGAAAAGCCCCAAATGCTGTAACCTTTTCTCATAATGGCATTTCTGTAGCCCACTTGATCATTTTGATCAGGAAGACTGTGCCCCTAGCCTTGGAGGTTTCAGTGCTAATAGCCATTGAGAGACCTCCTTGCCACAAAAGGTCTAATTCTCTTCATACTTATTTTCAAATGTTCTGAATTTCCTGTGTAGATAGCACTTCGGGTAAACCACGTATTGATTGTTGTGTGCAGTGGTGGCAGAAACGTAATATAGCCACACATTCCTATCCTTATTTGAAGTGTTCCCCAGGGACACTTCAATTATCACTTATTCCCACACTCAGGGTAGTTTTTACTGGGTGCAAGAATTAACATTGTGTTGGTCATAATGAGCCAGGAAACCATAGCCAGTCAGTACCATGTGCCAAAGTATCCTACCATTTTGTTGTTGTTTAGTCATTTAGTCATGTCCTACCATAGGGTTGCCATTTTATTTATTTATTTTTATTTTATTTGCTTTTTTATTTAATCATACAGTGGTACTTAATTCATTCTGGAGGTCCGTACTTAATCGGAAACTGTTCTTAACCTGAAGCACCACTTTAGCTAATGGGGCCTCCTGCTGCCACTGTGCCGCTGCTGCACGATTTCTGTTCTCATCCTGAAGCAAAGTTCTTAACCCAAGGTACTATTTCTGGGTTAGCGGAGTCTGTAACCTGAAGCGCATGTAACCCGAGGTACCACTGTATCACCAGTGCATGTTGTGTTACAGTCAAGTACAAGGTAATAAGAAAGAAAGAAAAACCCTTAACTTAAATATAACACAGATGTATGTAAGTAATGATCGTGACATAACTTATTCCTCCAATTAAATTGACTCTTAGAAACTTTGATTTTAACTCCCGTCCCACTCTTCCCCTGGTTTCCTATCTGAAATCTTTTCAAAGGATTGCCATTTTAATACCAACGATTGTGGAAACTGTGGCCCTCCAGATGCCACTGAAATCCCGTCCGCCTCAGCCAGCATGGGAGGTTTGGGAATTGCAACATTCGCATTCTATTTGCAAGTGTCAGAAGAAGAAGAAAACAAACACACAAGTACCTTCCATGATGAAATTGTATAACGTGCAAAGCTCAGGCCTCATCCGCACTGTACAGTATCATCCCACTTTAAAACAGCTACAATTCCCAGAGTTCCCTGGGAAGAGGGATTGGCTCCAGGATTTTATCCGGATTTTCAGTCAAGGGGAGGGGGGATGCTGGACTTTGTGCGTGCATGCTTTTATGAACACGACACCCAGGCATCAACATCTGGTGGCACTGGAGATGGGACAATGATTATAGGTGGATGGGGAGAGAAGGTAACAGGCACAACCTCACTCCCCACTCCATGGAAAGTACAAAGCTGTGGTCTGATGTGGACCTTTG